ACTCCAATCATGGGTGAAGATCTGGAAAGCCTGAGTAGGGGGAGTGGGATTAGGAGAATAAACGGAAGGATGGGGCAGCCTCTGGTCCCCAACCTCCTGTCCTCTACCAGTTAGGAGGGAGCAGAGGTGGCTGTGGTCTTGGTAATCCTTGGGAAACCAAGCAGTTCCCTTCTGTGTGGGGACTAATAGTAATAATACATGAAAATCATGTTAATTACACTAATCATCGCAGATATTGTTTATTAAGTACCTACTCTGTACCAGGCACTTCCTTTATATTATCCCTTGAATCCTGGGAGGCAGACATTATGCTCCCCATTTTGTAAATGACAAAACAAGCTCAGAGAGACTAAGTAACTTACTCAAGATCACATAACTAATGGTGGGGGGGGGAGTGTTGGGGAGATGGGTGGGGAGGTGGGTTGAGGGATAAACCCAGGCAGTGTGGCCCACCTTCCTACACCACCACAGGGAAGGCTTTTGTGGTCCAGGCAGAGGGGTGGCCTGTGGGCAGGGGGGAAGGAGTCGCTGATTGAGAGTGGGCAGTAGGACCAGTCTCGGCTGGGCTGCCCCTCCACGCCACCCCTGCAAGTCTATGGAGGACTGGGAACAGAGGTCTGGGAACCGGAGGTCTTGGTGCTAAGAGGGATGGTGGGTGGTGAGGGGAACAGGCTGGGGTGATGGAGGGAACTCCAGGGGGCGCTCCCAAAGGCCTTGGTTCTAATCAGGGTTGTACCTGCAACTTGCTGCGTGACTTTGGGCAAGTCACTCACCTCTCTGGGTGTTTGGATGATGGCTGATGTCTCCTTTCACTCTCTTATTGGAGGAGTCTGGGATGTAGGGGGTGGCAGGTCACGTCTGTACTTTCCTCCTTCTCGGAAAGATGTAAAAAGTACAGGTTCCTTCATGAGCTGCCTGCTTGAATTCACAATCTAAGGACTCCCAGGCCACGTGGTGGGTGATGGGAGCCTGTGCTCAGCTGAGAACAGGCCGGAAGCTGAGGAGAGAGCAGAGCGGAAGGTTTTCTGCCCCAGCTCCATCAGCTCATCAATCACCTGGCCTCTTGTTGCCTTATAGCCCCGAGGATTACGGGGGCACGTGTGGGAGCACAGCACCTGTGAGCCTGCGCTGGTCTCTGCTGGGGCCTGGTGCCCGGCACAGCTCTGCCACGTGGTCTGGGTCGGTCAGGGCCCAGGGTGTGGGGGAGCCGCAGGCTGGCTGCGGCGCGCTGGGGTGAGAGGCGCTCTCCCAGGAAGGGATTTGCCAGGGGGAAAGACAAGCCTTGGCTCCTTGGTGCCCTCAAGATATATGGGGCTGGGCTGGGTTCTTGAAGTGGAGAAGGAACTGGCAGAAAAACTCAGGGCATGGGAGTCAAAGAGGCTCAGCTGAATCTGGGCAAGTGCCATACTTTCAAGTCACAAGGCCACGGGTGAGTCATCTACACACACAGCCTTGGGTTCCTCCGCTGAAAAATAAGGGTCATGTAATGTTCCCCTTGAGAGGTTGGTGAGAGAATACAATGAGAGGGTATAGAACCTGACAAAGAGTAGATAATCAAAATCGTGGCCACTGTTATTGTTGCCGTTACTGCTCTTAGTAATATTAATAAGTAAAGAGTCATCCTGAACAAGTGGAAGGAGCAGAGGCCGGGGAGTCAGGTTTTGCGAACCTCTGGCTGTGTGACTTTTGTCACCTCTCTGGTTCCTTATCTGTAAGAGGAGGGGGTGGCACTAGCTGATCTTGAGTCCCCTTCCAGCTCTGACAGCCTCTGGGCTATGAATAGATGGGGCTGGGGCCCCGGAGGAGTTTAATGACTCAACAGCTAGAGAGGTTAAGCTTTCCCAGAAAAGAGTTTCCATTTGCGTTTGATGAACTTAGGGCACAACAAAGGAAGGGTTTCCTGGCTGGGCGGCCAGGGACGAGGGAGCTGGAGGAATCCTTGTAGCTCATGGAGACTGTGACTAACCAGGTGAATGACTAACTCAGACCCTGCTGACCCTTGACCAATCAGAGCTCCCCGGGAGCACCCAGCAAGCTGGCATCACGGAGCACGTCTTGGCCATGCCAATTTCAGCTGGCTCTGGGCTTCACAGCATATGGGAGCAGAAGAAGCAGCCAAGAGACCGGCAGGGAAAGAGCACTGGGCTTGGAGTCAGAAGACCTAGCTTCTTGCTCTAACTCTGCTGCTCACCAGCTGTGTGACTTTGGGGGAGTCCCTTCCCCTACTTTCCCCTCCATACCTTCATCTATGCAACGGAGCTAACGATACCTGGCGGCTTTCCTGAGCGGTGAAGGCTGAGACTCAAGAGATGAGATGAGAGTGCATTAGGATCACTAAGTGGTGGGTTCTGCCGTTTTTCTATCCCGGTGTGAGTCCTGGTGCCTTGGGAGACCTATTTGGGTCTCCCGAGGGATCAGGTGGACAGAGTCTGTTGCCTTTGGGTTTGGGGTCAAGATCAGCTTAATATAGGGCCCCTTCCAGCCATCTGATCACAGTCCAGACAGGCTTTTCTTAGAGCAGAGCCCCTGTGGACTGTTTCCAGCCAGATGGCGTAGCCAGAGAGAGGTGACAAAAAGCCAGGGATGGCTGGGTGGGGCAGGAAGTGGGCAGTGCCTTTCTGGGGCCCCCACAGGACTAGGGTGGTGCTTTGATGTTGTCTTTCTTCTTGCCCAGCAGTATGTCAATAAATATCACCAGAACTGTACTCTGTCTGCCTCTACTCCCGGCTCTTAGCATCTTTCTTGGTAAGGACTACAGGTACTTTGGGAAATGGCAGGGATGGAGGGGAAGGAGGATGCCCTTTCATTTCTGCGCATCTTAAGCCTATGGACAGCAGTCTCTGAGTGCTCGTGTGTGCTGCCGGGTACTGTGTTGGCACTGGGAGAACAGAGATGGGAACCACAGGGCCCTGCCCACATGGAGGTTCATTCAGTAAGAGGCAAAGCACATCCCCTCAAATGTGAATAACCATGCAAGAGAGCCTACACTGTGTCCTCCAGGTTGTCCTGACGGTGAGTCCTGTGGCCGTCTAGAGTGGTGGCCTGGGATGGTCTGGAAGACTTCAAGGAGGAAGTGGGATTTGAGCTGGACCTGCAAGGTTAGCTTGGACAAGGTGAATAGAAGACGGAGAGAAAGGTGTTCTCAGGAGTCAGACAGCATGGTGGCTGTGGGGGATCATGCCGGTAAGAAGTGAGAAATGAACTTGGACATTGATTCGGAGCCAGGTATGAAGGTCCTTAAAATTTGGAAAGAGCATGGGCCAGGTTCCACGGGCTGCTGGAAGTCACCGAGGGCTTCTGAGAGGGTATTGGTATGGTTGGAGCTGCACTTTGGGGAGATTTTTTCTGACGGTATTGTCCAGGGGAGCTCTCTCCGTGACAGAACGAGGCTGCAGGCAAAGTCAGCTGGGAAGTTACTTGTGGAGCTAGGGACCACGGGACTAAGAAAGGGGACACATAATCAAAGGCACCACATGTGGGAAGAGGTGGGGGGAAGGCCTAACTTGGTTGTCAGTGCTCCTGAAACCTTGGCAGGTGGCAGGGAAGTGGGAGAGGGGAGGCTTCCTTTTGGGCAGATCTGAGTCTGACTATTCTGCCCTGACTATTCTCCCCTGACTCAGAGGTGCCCCCATCCACTCCTGGGGCCCATTTCTTCCTCTTCCAAAAGGGGAATCCAGAGACTACATGGCAGTGCTCCCCATGGACCCCAGGGAGGAGTGGAGCTTTGGGACACAGTCCCAAGTGGATGGACTGCAAGAACAGCGTCCAGTCCTGCCTTGTACCCCCTCAACTTCTGCAGACTCCCAGGAAAACACTGCCATCTTGTCATGGGCTATGCCATGTGGCAATGAGCCCCTGGGAGCTCAGCCAAGGCAAGGAGGGGGACCAGAGAGAGGACAAGGAATGGGAAAGATGGAGGCCTGGAGACATCCTAATGGGCTTTGTGGGAAGGTGGGCTGGGAGGACGCCAGGACTTGGAGGAAGGCTTGAGATCATTTCAGCCAGCCAACCCCTCATTGTCTGGAGGTGAGCCTAAAACCTAGATAGGAGAAGGGACTTGCCCAAGGTCATATAGTGGGAAAAGTGATGGAGCTGGGCTGGAATCACAGAGTCCTGGGGAGCGAGTAAGGTGTTTACTCCTATCTGGACACTTTTGAATAGCAAGTCAAGGGCCTCCTGGGGATTCCTTTCCTGGATATCCATTCGTGTTCTGTGTGTGTGTGTGTGTGTGTGTGTGTGTGTGTGTGTGTGTGGCCTGCTGCACCGCTGTTTGGAGAAGAAAACTGAGGCCATTCCTGCGAGGTGACTGTTTTCCTGGGACAGCAGAGAAGGCAGACAGAACTGGATCTGGCTTCCAGCATCAGATCTGCTGCCCTAAGAAAATTAAAGGCACTGGCTGGCTTTGCCCAAACTCTGGGAGGTGGACACACACACACACACACACACACACTCCAAGCGGCACTCACAGAGGCAGTTACGGGTTGTTTCAAGCACCCAGAGTAGGCGGGAGTGCCGTGGAGTGCCAGAGTACCTGCATCCACACGTCTCCCGGGAGCCCCAGCCGGTGTAGACACGCCAAGGTGCGGAAGCCCATCTGCCAGGGACACGGAGGAGTCGCGCGCTCCCCGCCGCTCTACGCTCAGCTCTCTGCTCCAGGGCCTGGTCCGGCCACACCCCTCCTCCCCAGCCTCCGCCGGTCGTTCCTGCCCCTCTCACACACTTCAGAGTCCCCTGAGGCCCTCGCGCAACCTGGCAGGGACAAGTTAGGGCTGGCCCGGCCGGAGAGTCAGGTCCGGAGCCAGGAATCGACGCCTCCCCCGAGTCCTGTCTCCGCGGAGCAGACAAGCCAGGCTGAACTCGGGTTTCTGGCAGCGCGGGTTTCGGCGCCTAGACCTTCTCCGGGGGATCCCACCCCCCGCCCCAGCCCTGGCCGGCTCGGGACTACTCGGGTACGCGGCGCCCAGCCCCCGGGTCCCCGCCCCCCGTCGGCGAGTAGTTACCGATGGTGGTGATGACGGTGATGGCGAAGTAGAAGGAGCCGGCGAAGCGCCACTGCACGCCGGCCTTGTGCGGCTTGAGGCGCAGCACAACGCGCTCGAGCTCCTCGTAGCCGCCCTGGCTGAGGTTGTAGCGCGCCCGCAGCTCCTGCTGCCGCAGCTCCAGCCGCTGCCGCTCGATCATCTCGGGCTCCGACTCGAGCGCGTCGAAGACCGCGGCGCCCACCAGCAGGTAGGTGAAGGTGCACACGATGAGCGCCAGCGTGCGCACGTTCTGCCGCTTCATCGTCCCGCCCGAGCCGCCGCCGGCCCCCCGGCGCCCCCGGCCCGCGCCCCGGCCCCGGCCGCCGCTGCTGCTGCCCCGGAGGCGGCCTGGGGCATGGCTGCGCTCGCCTCTCCCCGCGCCGGGCACCCGCTCCGCGCCCAGGGGCCGCCGCCGCCAACGCCGCCGCCGCTGCCGCCGCGGAGCTGTCCCTTCAGCACCACCCACCGCCCTCCTCGGCCCGGCCCCGCTCCCGCCCCCCGCCCCCCGCCCGCAGGCCGCCTCCTCCCGCCAGCCCTCCCGCCCAGCCAAATAAGGACTGGGGAGACGCGCCGAGGGAGGGAGGAGGGGGGCTGGCGGAGGGGGAGGGGTGAGGGAGCGAGCGGGAGAGCCGCGGAGAGACCGGGCAGGACCGAGGGAGAGAGACCCAGGGAAAGATAACTAGACACAGAGAGAAACGCCTATAACTACAGAGAAAGCGAGGAAAAAGAGGCAGAGGGGGGTGTGACAGATAAGGAGATAAAACCAGAGGTAGACTCACAGCCACAGTAAAAGAAGCGGCAGGCAGAAAAATACAGAGCGAGAGAGACAGAGAGCGAGAGATGGAAACAGAAAGAGCGACAGAGACAGGGAGACCTGGATAGCTGGAGATACATTGGTGGCGGAAAAAGAAGAGCAAGGAAGGGAAAAGGAACGGGCAGAGCGACGCCCACACCCCAATCTCCACCGAAATCACAGCACGCTTTAACTGGAAGGGACCTTGGGCCTCGCTGTCCTGTCTTTTATTATGTCGATGAGGAAACTGAGGCGCAGAGAGGTCGAGCGACAAGCAAGGGCACACAGGGAATTAGTGCCAGCATTAGGACTCAGCCAAGTTTCCCTCCGCCCAGGCCACGCCCCCCACCCTGCGCCAGGCCACCGGCTGTCTTAGAAACAGCAGGGCGCAGCTGTGGACCTGGGCACGCGTGGGCCAACATCCAAGGGAAAGCCCTGCTCTCATGAAATGTGACCCTTCCCAGGTCAGCATGGCTCCTGGAACTGGCTGGGAAAGCACAGGCTTGGGAGCCTAGGCCAGCAGCACTCAATCCCAGGCTCTCCTCCTCTGCGCTGCTGGGGCTATCTTGCCGTCCAGACATCCATAGCCTTTGTCCTGGGCCAGGCTGAGCTTGGGCTGGGAAGCCAGAGATAGCACTGGACATCAACATCAGGCATCCCAACAGAACAGAACAGGGCGACTGGAGCCCAGACCAGGAGGCTTGCTGAAAGCGAGGGGAAGCAGGAGGCCTCCCTATGCCTCAGTTTCTTCTTCTGTCAACATGGTGGCAGTGGCGGTGAGGAGGCGCAGGCTGCGGGACCTCAGAGGAGGCGTCACTGCCCCTCTCAGAGTCTCACTTCCTTATCTCCTCGATGAGGTGCCAAGGCAGATGATCCCACAAGGCCTCACTTAGCTTCAAACAGCTCCAGACTTGGATGGGCTGAGTGAGCAGAATGATCGGAATGCAAATCCCATTGCCAAGGAGGGTCAGAGAGTCTTTCACGGGACCCTGGCACAGGCCACGAGGAGAGACGGGATGGAAGAGGCCCCAGGCCCCTGACTGTGGGTAGGTTGAGGAGGCAGCCATCCAGAAGCAGGAGTGCCATCTGCCCACATCCTGGCCTGACCTGTCACTGTTGGGCATTTTAATGCTTCTCTGAGGCGGGGCCACCAACCCACTGCTACTTTCAACCATTCACTCAAAGAGTATGTATCAAGCATCTGCCCTGTGTCAAGCTAGGCACGTTACATTTATTATCTCTAGTCTTACCACAATCCTAAAAGGTAGGTATGGTTATGTCCATTTTATAGATGGAGAAACTGAGGCACAAGGCAGTGCGGAGAATTGTCCAAGGTTGTTCAGCTGGAAGGGACTTCAATCTGCCTTCTGACCCCATTCTCTTCTCAGTAATGACTCCTGGAGCCTCAGTTGTTTTCACTTGTAAATAGGATAGGAAATTATCCCAGAGTCATTGATCTAACACCAACTTTCTGGCCCCATGCCTTTGGTCATGAACTCGGCCCATTGCAGGCCTTCCCCCTTGACATCTTCTGGCTCCCTAGAAGACAAGTGTTGCTTTTCCTGGTTTCCTAGGGGTGAGGGTGGAAGCTCAGTTGTGTCCTCCTGGCCACAACTACCCCAGAAGCCAACTCCCCCAAAGCCAGTCTAGATGAGCAAGGCTCAAGAGGCCTGCTTTCCAGTGTGAAAGCTTGTGTGTCCAGGGTCTGCTTGCTTCTGGCTGCCAGGCCACACTGTTGTGCAGATGAAAGGTGATATTATGAGTGAAAGAGCTTTGGAAAAGGGAAAAAGCTCTCTTTAGGGGCAGGGCATTTATTATTAATTATGATGAAGCTTGTTCTCACAGCACTTCAGAACTGGAAGGACCTTTAAAGATCGGCTAACCTGATCCTCTCATGTTACAGATGAGGAAACTGAGGCCCAGAGAGTAGGAAGGGGGTTGCTCAAGGTCACACAGGGAGTGAAGGGGGGCCAGGACTTAGGTCCCATGGCTGGGGTCTCTCCTGTACTCCCCATATATATGGGACCAAGACACTTGCTGCCAGGGAAGCGCGACACATCCATAGCATCCCTGGAGCCCAGGGGGTCAGCTCGGTTCCCACCCCCCTGCCCCTTTTCCTTTTCTACTCTTCAGGAGAGGGGGCTGGTTGGCTGGAAGCCATGCTGGTGACAGTCTAGATTTCTGAGTAGCCTTTGGGTCCTGCAGACAGGAGTCCCATCAGCTCACCCTTGACCTAGGCGGGATAGTAGTGCCAAAGATCTAGAAGCCTACACCTCTCCCTCTGTCCAGGACTCCTGTGACCTGCCTGTACATCCTCACCCCTGCTGGGGCTGCCTCACCTTCTGCCCAGGGCCAAGTGTCAGAAAGCACCTCTAGCCACCCTGTCTTTTATCAATGACAAAATCTGCTCAGTTATGGCTTCTCCATGCTCTATATTTTTTCAATCCATTGGTGACGCCGGTGGATGAAGACTTGAGCAGGTAAGAAAGAGATATTTTACATCCCTCCAATCATTATGCTGGTCAGACTCGTGTGTGATTATTTTCTGAAATCTGATCTACTATAGAGAACAGGGGACAGGGAGTTGGGGAGCCTGGGCTGCGGTCCTATCTCTTCCACCTGCTTCCTGTGGGACTCAGGACCAGTCACTCTTTTTTCCTGGGCCTTGGTTTGCACGCCCATAAATGGAGTGGTTTGGACCAGGACATGTCTATGCTCCCTTCATTTATAACATCCCGTGACCTTCCTGGCCTGCTTCTGCTTCACTAGTTCTTCCAAGAATCAGGTGAAAAGATTTAGTCACAGCTTTTAACACTTTAGTTTGTGGGGAGAAGGGCACAACCAGAGGTAGGATAAATGGCACAGAATTTAACCATCATTAGTTGCTGCGTATTATAATGTACTAAACATTATACACGTATTGTTTTCCAGCTTTATCTTCCACACCATTCTTCTCTAAGCTCTAGCCACATTTAAGTACTTTCGTGCTTTACTTCTGACTCATGTGACTCCCATAAGCTGGGATGTTGGTACTTCCTCCATTTTTTATCTATTGAACTCCTGTTCATGCTTCAAGACCCAACACAAAGGCCACTCCCTCTGTGAAGCACTCCCCAGTTAGCTCCAATCAGAACCACTAGTGCCTCTGTGCTTCCATAGCACGTTGTCGAAGCTTCAATTCAGTAGACATTCCTCCTACCTAGTAGACTGATTGGTTCTTTAATATCTGTCTTCCCCACTGGTTCATTATCTTCTCCAGGGTCTCCACCTTTCCCATGCCACCCGTCCCTGCAGTGGGGAGCTCAGTGCTTTGTTCTTATGTTCGTTGTGTATTCAGTACAAGATGAAGTCCTTAAAGCCTCCTACACCTGCTGGGTGAGAGATCAGTGTCAGCGGGGCCAGGAGCACAGACAGCAGAGTCTGGAGGGAGAAAAATCCATGCAATTTGCTTCTGTGACTCTCTGCCAACAGACACTCCTAAAGTTGGAGCAAGCCCTGCCTGGCTTAGGGAGAGAGGGTCAAGTCCCATGTGAGCGTCCTAAGGCCCAAGGAAGCATGGGGAGAGGGCATTGAAGTGGAAGTCTAGACACCTGGAGCCTGGGCCCAGCTACCACCCACTACCAACTAGACGGCGGACTTGAGAGAATCACATTGCCTCTCTGTGCCTCAGTTTCCTTTTCTAGAATGAGACACTTGCTTATCTCAAAGAGTCTCTTCCATCTGACATTCTGTGATGTTAATGACAGACTTGGCCCCGTGATTAGCAGTGCTCATCTTGCAATGGCCAGGACTGTGGTGGGAAGGATGAGGGGCCCAGAGCCCTCTCTGTCCATTGTTTCCCAGCACCAGGCCCCCATCCTTGGCCATTTTGGCTGGAGGATGGGGGCAAGGGGTGAGGTAGGGAGTAAAAAAGCTGACTCTGACTCAGACAAGCTCAGGTTCAAGTCCTGAGCTTTATTCTATTCATTACTAGCTGGACCTGAGCCTCACATGATAGACTGGTCTATCCTGTCTAGACCAGAACATAAGCTCGCGCAAAGCAGAGATAAGGCCTTCCTCATCTTGTGATAGGGTCCCTGGTTTGCGGTAGGAAGGAGAATCCAGAACCATCTCAAAAGCCAGCTAGGAGGAGGCCTGAGAATGGGGAGGGGCTGGGTGGGCCCAGGAGCTACAGCCCAGACAGGGACATGGCGGGTGGAGAGCTGCACCAGGAATTGGGGCCTCTGGTGGCCGATGGCTGGTTGATTGGCTTCAGGGTGCTTCGGGCATGACTGAGGTGTTCCTGGGTGTACCCCTGAGGCAGAGACGCAGAGGATTAGTCTGGATTTACAGAGCATAACCAGTCCCGGTGCGGCCGGCTTACATTTGTCAAGAGACACTATTTGTTTAACATCTCAAGCCCAAACCAAACACAGAAAAGCAGCTGTTCACAAAGGAGAGGCTCTGGAAGCCATTGGGGAGAGAGCACTGCGCTAGGGGGTGGACACCTGGTTCTGTTCTTAGTCCTGCCCCAGAAGAGCTGGGTGAGCAGCTCCGCATCCAGACTCACGTGTCCCATTAGTGAGAGTGAGAAACGACCAGTCTGTGCCCAGCTGCCACGGGGGTCAGGCTTGCTTCATTCATTCGCAGACACCTGCTCCAAAGTCTGCATCCTCTTCCCCTAGAGAGGCCTTCCTTGGTGGCCCCCATCTCTGACTCTGAATGCTGCGCTGAGATGAGCATCCTCGCATGTGTGTCTTTGAAGACCTGTGGAGAATTCGCACTGGG